CGCTAAGATCCCAGGCGCTGCAAAGCTTCCTTGTCCGGGAAGTCTTTATGGAGCTTTTGCCTGGACCAAACTGGGGAGGGGGAAACAAGAAGGAGTGAGGGCAAGAGATGGTCAGCCAACTCTCTTCCTGCTGCATAGGTCACTAGGGATCACCACACCACCCTTTCCAAATACACTAGAGCTGAGCAAACAAAACAAAAACCCACCGAGATCACACAAAAATCAAGTAGGCCTATGAAGTCACATGTGGTTTGGATCTTGAAGGAGCAAACCCAGCTCATAATGAGTTCAACTCTACAACTAAACAGCTGAGAACTCTACTACTACGACAACAACAACCAACCAACCACACAGTTTTCCACCACCACAGGCCAGGCACCATACAGGAAACACTACTAACTCAATCCTAACAGCTGCACTGAGTCATTATTGGATCTTTAGTAGGGGAAAAACACCCCCACAGGATTTGGGAATATTGGATATGCCTTGAAAGATCACAGGGGAACAGTTAGGGATGGGGTGATCTTCTATGTCTATTTTCTGGTACCATCAGTATGGAGGCCAAGGCATTTACCCTTTGTGAACAGCAACATCACAGGTAGCCTTTAATCCAGCAAATATGGGACAGCCAGTGAGGGCAGTCCAGCAGCAAAGGACCCAATCTTAGAATCATAGAGTTGGAAAGGACCCAAGGGTCATCTAGTCCAACCCCCTGCAATGCAGGAATCTCAGATAAAGCATCCAGGACACATGGCCATCCAACCTCTGCTTAAAAGCCTTCAAAGAAGGAGAATCCACAACCTGCCAAGGGAGACCGTTCCACTGTCAAACAGCTCTTACCTTCAGAAAGTTCTTCCTGATGTTTAGTCGGAATCTCCTGTCTTGTAACTTGAAGCCATTGGTTCAAGTCCTACCATCCAGAGCAGGAGAAAACAAGCTTGCTCCATTTTCGTTTAGATAGCCCTTGAGATATTTGAGGATGGCTATCATATCTCCTCTCAGTCTGCTTTTCCCCCAGGCTAAACATACCTGGCTCCTTCAACTGTTCCTCATAAGGCTTGGTTTCCAGATCCTTGATCATCTTGGTTGCCCTCCTCGACACATGTCAACATCCTTCTTAACTTTCCAGAACTGGAAACAGTATTCCAGGTGTGGCCTGACCAAGGCAGAATAGAGTGGTACTATTACTTCCCTTGATTTGGACACTATGTTGATGCCGCCTAAAATAGCATTAGCTTTTCTTTGCTGCTGCATCACACTGTTGACTCATGTTCAGCTTGTGGTCCACCAAGACCCCTAGAACCTTTTCACATGTACTACTAGTAAGCCAGGTGTCCTCCATTCTATATTTGTGCATCTGGTTCTTCCTGCCTAAGTGCAGAACCTGACATTTGTCCCTACTGAAATTCATTTTGTTAGCTTGTGCCCAGTTCTCCAATCTGTTAAAGTCATTTTGAATTCTGATTCTGTCTCCTGTGTTAGCTACCCCTCCCAGTTTGGTGTCATGAGCAGATTTGATGAGCATCCCCTCAATTCCTTCATCCAAGTATTGTATAAAGGCATTGAACAACAACAGGCCCAGAACACAACCTTGCGGCACCCCACTTGTCACTTTTCCCCAGGGTGACAAGGAACCATTAATTAATACTCTTTGTGTTCAGTCAGTCCATCAGCTACAAATCCACTTAACAGTTACCTTGTTCAGCCCACATTTTACCAGATTCTTTACAAGAATATTACGGGGGGGGGGTCAATTTATATTTCTGCTACTTGAGAATGGGGAATTTTAGATTGCATGGCTTTCCTCACCTCTGTGTCCTGATGAGAAATCATGCTTGTTAAAAAGGTTTTTGGGGTTTTTTTGCATAGCCATTAAGTGTACAGGAGCCCTGCCCCCTATTGCACCTGGACACTTCTACCTACGTGACCTTGGGCACAGCAGGGCCTTTACATTTCAACAGGCCTCACCTGTACAATGAGGATAAAAGGCCCCAGCCCACTGCCATTGCGATGGAGGAAAAAGGAAAACAAACATGGAGTGGAGGGGGGAATAGAAGAAATGAACGCTACTGCAATTGGGTGGGGTTGGGGAGTGAGAGAGAAAATCACCTTTCAGGGTGGCTCCCTGCCCCTGGGTATGTGGGGGTGAGAGAGATTTCTATATCAATCCATCCCCCCCCCCCATCTGGGTGCAGCTGCCAGTCTTAGCAGGCTGCCTCCTCCATTCACCAGGGGTTGTTTATCAAAGAGGCGGCCCAGCAGCCTTCACTCCCTCGAAGAAACCGGGATAAAAACGGAACAAAGGGGAAGGGCGGGGGGAGTTGGGGTGAAAGACAATGCCTGGGGAAATAAGGCTTTATTTCTCCATTCCTCTCCAACACGTCCCCGGCCCGGAGCGCGCATCAAGAGAGCTTCATCACATCCCCGCCCCAGCTCCAAAGAGCCCCCCACCCACCCCACGGCACCCCGCCCTGTTTTTCGGAGCCCTTCCCCGCCACCCTCAGGGCGAAAGACCTGAAACACGGCGCGCAACAGGGAATGACCAAATGTGTCCATATCCGCACCTTCGCCTGATGAGAAAAAAGGTGGGCAGTTAAGTTTCATCCTCACTTGACCCAGTTCTGCCTCGGACCAAGACCGCCTCGCCTTGCGGGGGGGGGGGCGGCCGAGGGAGGCGAATAGAAAGCTCTTCCCTGCCCGCCTCCGCGAGTCGGAGACGCCTGACAGGTAGACGAGCAGGCAGCGCGACGGGCTCGCCGTTACATAAAGCCCCGCAAACAAAAAGCCCCTCCGTGTGTCCCCCCCCCCAAGATGAGGGAACCCATTTGGTACCGTGCCCCCCCCCCGCCGACGCCCGTGTGTGTACACAACGCAACCGCGCGCGCGCACACCCACCCACCCTCCCCGCCAAACAACCCTTCGAGGCAACACCCCGCTGCAAAGCCAGCTGGCGGCGCACAATGGAGATGCCGCCGCCGCCGCCGCAGCTACTGCTGCTGGCCTCGACGGCTGCCCGAATATGCAGACGAGGCCGGCCAATGCGCCACATTCTCGTCCTTCTTTTCATTTAACCGAGAAAAAGCAGCAGCAACTGCAGCGCCAACCCCGCACCCGCCGCCCGCCCGCCCGGCGCGCAATGCCCGCCACCCGCCGCGCTCCCCGCGCGCGCCCGCCCCATCCTCTCCCCCGGAGGCGGCGGCGGCGGCACCCACCATAGCGGAGCATCCGAGGCTGGCGAGGAAACTCCGTCCATCGGAAGCTTGGCCCGGGCTGCGCTGGCGAAGGAGCGAGCGAGCGGAGGACGAGGCGGCCTTTGGCGCGCCCGAGGTGGCGGCGCGGGGAAGCGCGCCCAGGTGCCGCGGGGTTGCTGCTGCTGCTGCCGCCGCCGCCGCCGCTCAGCGCCCCGCTCCCCGCCAAGCAGCCATCGCCGGGCGCGTCACGTGGCGCCCGCTTGGTGCCGGAATGGTGGTCATAGCCATAGCAACACCGCGACGTGGCTGCGGAGAGAGCGCGGGGCCCGGCTGGCTGCGCGCGCGGGAGAGGTGGGCGGCGGGAAGGAAGGAGGGGGAAGAAGCGGCAGCTCCGGGTTCCTCACGACATCCTCCTCTCAGCGGCCGCCCCGGAGCTCAGAAGGGGCGACGCAGCCCGATCCTATCGCTGCGCCCACTTACTCAGAAACAACCCCCCCCCCGTTACTGGGACCCGCGCCCAGTAAATTGGCAGCCCCTCTCCCCGCAACGCCTCTCCCCGCCCGCCTGGCTCTGCTTTTATCCTGAAGAGTGATGGGGGAGCTTTTACAATAACCATCGTGACAGGTGCAACCCGGTGCGCCCTCACCCGAGAATAAACCCCAGGGAACTCGGCAGAAATCAACCCGTGTAGAGGAAAGGCACACTGCTCTGTATTGCGAGTGCCATGGAGCTGAAGGCAATCTTGTGATGACGCCACTCCTGTGGAAGCTTGCTCAGAAGTAAACCTGGAGGTGTCCTGTGCAGCTTCTGTCTTCTTCTCCATAATCTTCACAATCCCTTCCTAAGCATAGGTTGGCCTTACCCTTCTATAGTAGTAGATCAGCAAGGCAGACATAGGCCTATCTAGCTGCTTGCCTAAGGCCAGCTGGCAAGTCTGCAACTGGGACAAGATTTGAATCCAGGAACTTCTTGGCTCACATCCTCGGCTACTACACCAGCTCTCAGGCTAGCTATACTAATTTTCTGAATGGCTATAAAGATTGGCAGCAATGAATAGTAAGGAGGCCATAGTAATGGGTATTTGGGCACTCTGTTTTAATTTATTTAGGCTCACTGCATTCCACCCAGGCACTCTTCATGTTCCATGGAGGTGGGCACTTGGAAAAGCAAGAGACAGCATTTACATCTAATAACAGGAGAGCACGCTCCAGAAGCACAGGCCAGCCTCTCAGTCTATTGCATTCAAAGATGTTAAGGCAGTAGATGTGTTTATTTGATCAACTACACAGGCTGAGGGTTGCTTCTAGTCTGCACTACATTCTGCACTACCGTTGCAAAGGATGGCAGTCTTTCTGGATGCATGAACACAGGATTTATTATGTATGGAGCCTGAGAGTGAACGAGGCATCATGGCACTCGGAAAAGGCAGGGCAGCCAACAACCAACAGGTTCCAAAACTATTTTCAGTGAGAAAGTTCAAGCCAGGACAATTACGGTAAGCAGCACATAATAATGGCAAGTGCATCCCAAGTAATATGGGCATCATCTTCCCCCTAATTAATCCTGGCTGCCAGCAGTAATAATGATTTTTGTGTCCAGAACCATCGCCATGGCCAGTACAGGCATGCAAAGCGACCAATATTAGGGCTTGTGTAAGATCCGCCCCCCCCCCCAGCATTTTCTCTGTGCTACTGGGGTACAGTTTTTAGTCCAAACGAGCAAGATCAGCCTTGTCCTTCCACTGGGCTTCTCCCATGCTGGCAGAATAGGAGCAGCTCAGGTACAGCTGGATTTTTGCATGCAGACAACTTCTGGTTCAATAATTTATTTCTATGTGATACAAGAGTGAACTGGAAATACACAACGTCTTATACAATAAGAAACATTGAAAAGGGGCTGATAGTACAACAGCCCCAGGGCACAAGCATGTTTCCATGGCACAAGCTTTATTGCATTGAAGGAATGGCATCAAGTCCCAGCAGAACCACAATATTGGGGGCAGAGGGGAGGGAACTGATGGAAGAGCACAGCACTACCCCGAGTTCTAGGCCTAAAGCAGCCGGCTGGGTGGCTGTGCCACCGTCAGAGCCGGCCATAAGCCTCTCCCCTTACCAGAACAGCTGCCATGGCGTGTTAAGTTGGTGCGCCAGTCCAGGAAGAGCAACTGGCCCGTGATCAACCTTGACAGCTGTGCTCTGCTGAACTAATGAATACACTATTACAGAGGGATGTTCTCTTTAAGACACCTCACAGCTCCTTGGCATATAAACTGCTTCCTCAGAGAGCCCCATCACACAGCTACTGACAGACAGATTGACATCCCTCAGCATATAAGTTTGTTAGATCAGAAGGAAACATTTAGGGCCCCTTTCACAAGATTGCGTGCACACACACATAATGCTTCTGAAAACGCCCCCTTCCTGGGCATGGCATTTCCACATCATCCTGTCCCCAAAAGCTATGCTAAAACAGGGAGCAGATAAGGCTTTCGCCTTGACATTTTCTGGAGGCTTCAACTGGACAAGCTATCTTTGGGTGGAGCTGGGAAGCCAGGACTTACTACAGTCACAGCCTTACTAGTGAGCAGAGCTACTCAACACAGTCTGCTACATACTGAAGCAAGGGGAACAGCTGGATGCAATATATTACACAGGGCCAGTCTCTGTCTCTTCTCCCCTACACACACCCATCTCCCTCTGCCAAAGCAGGCACAGCAAGCCTCCTAGAGGACATTCTCAAATCCCCACGGGCAGCCCTGAAGTAGCTCCCAAACCCTGAATCAGTTCTAATCCTCCTTTGGAGTGATGGCTGAGGGAGAATCATAGGACTTCTGAAAGCAGCCCTTCGTGGAAGAGGCTCTTGTTGTAAGGGGCAGAACTTTGGCAACAAGGTTTAGTGGAGGCTGCACTGCTGGGGGTGAGAACTGGAGTGCTAGGCTCACAGGATGCTCATGAGAGCCTCTGCTATTTACTAGAGTGCTAGAAGGAGCCAACGCCACTCAGGAGGGGTGGGTTACAGCACAACCTTCCAGCAAGGGGTGGGAAAGACGAGGTAAAGAATGAGGAGGAGGACTTTGAAACACAGAGGCACTACCACTGGGTATCATGGGGTAAGTTAATATATACTATCAGTCACCCTCAAAGGGAATTGATTGCATAAATGGGGAAGAATCCACTTGACCCCCTTCTTTCAAGGCACAAGACTAAATTCTTATTGCATATTATTCTGTCTCTGAATAAAATACCATTAAACCTTATGTGTGAGCTTAGATCCTGCCCTGACCAGAGTCACCAATGTAGCATGTACCCTGTACAGTTTAGAGGATAGAGAATATCAATGCTGGGATGAATCTGAAGCCAGCCATCTTTCTCCTGCTTAGGCTGCCTTCAAAAGCAGCGACCTCTTTAGTGCTCTGGACGGTTGTTCATCCCGACGGAAGGTCAAAGATAAGGCACTTGATTCAGCAGCCATCCCCCAGACCAGCCACAATGGGGCTCAAGTCAACCCAACTCTCCTGCTGACCCAAACAGCAGGGGGGGGGAACCATCCCTCTTACTGAGAATTGGGGTGGGGGAGAGAGGGAGAACTACAGGTAGGGGGAGGAGGGCAGGAAAGCCTTTGATCTGAAGCTTCAGCCAACAAGACAGACTGCACAACTGCTAAGCAAATACATTCGTGACGAAGTCCAGAAAGCGCTTGGCATATTGTTCTGGATGCACCGTGGAGATCTCTGCACCAGCCTGAAATGGAAGACAAAGTGTCAACAACCACCATAAAACGCCCCTATCTTTCCGCACACACTAGGAAAAATAACAGTTTGAGGAGTGAATATATTGGAAGGGCAAGGAAGAGAGAACATCTGAACAGAAGTCTGAAAATGGCCTTGATCAACCATTTCTCTCACACATGTGTGCTTTCCAATGTCTGCTTTGGCATTATATAACCCCCAACCCTGGCCTAGTTTAGTACTGATGCCACTTTATTTCAAGGAAGTGCCTCTGGCACAAAAAGGATTAAGCCAATTATGCAATAAAAATGACTTCGGAATAAATCATTCACACGGTGTGACATTTTTATCACCCCACCCCCTGAAGATGGTGCTGTCTCACCAGTCCACCTTTTTTGGTCTCTAAGTTGTGGCTACAGTCACCACTATGGATGCTATGAAACTGACCAGAAGTCTGGAAATCCTCACTTGGGGGTTGTAGTTGACTCTTTGATTTAGTAAGGCTAGCTGTGGGCCACCAGAGTCCACACCTAGGGGTGAAGAACTGTGCAGGCCAGACTCACCCCGTGCTTGACGGTCTTAGCTGCATGGGCAGCCTTCTTCTTGGCATCATACTGTGTGAGGATGTCAATCAGGCCCATGAAATAAACCTCCTTCTGGGGGCTATCTGGAAAAGTAAAGAGTCAATGAAGCTCATGGGCACTGCTACCCTCTGCATTCCAACACACGCACGCACACGTGCGCACACACACACACACCCCTCATGCCATGAGGCTCTTTCTGCATTGGATTCCAACAGGGCAAAATGTGAGTTACTGAATCTTAGGACTGGGTGGGGGCAGGAGGGAACCTGTCAGCACCCCCCCCCAATGCATAAAACTAAACCGTCAAATGTACATGGGACATAAGTAGGAATTAATAGGATGCACCAAACCAAAGTAGCATAAGAACTGAAAAATGCCCAATAACTCAAGAAAGTGAAACAAGCTCAAGCTGGGAGGAAAGGCAAAAAAAGCCACATAAAGAACATTAGATTATATCAGTTAAATTTGGGACGAATCCCTTCCTGCCCCAAGTATAACAAACAATTCACGAATGATTAATTCATCTTCTACATGTTTCTTCCTAACGAAGCCTGCATTTTACAGATGAAGCCATCAGTGGCAGCATCCAGAAAATACTACAGTGGCAGGAAGTGAACTTCAGAATCCCTATTATCAAATCTAACTCCTCTCCAGGAAGCAGATATCCACCTGATTCGCCTACAGCAAGGGCTGTGTGTGCCACCCTCTCTTCCACAAGACACATTTTCTGCAATCAAAACTAAGCAAGTTGAGCAGATGTACACATTTTCTTATTTTTGTGTAGTTTAGCTGACATTTAGATTCCACATTTAAGAAAGACCCAAAGGAGGAAGGAGTGATGACTTGCAAGAAGAGAAGTCTGGCTCAGAGGGCCAGACAGGACTTCCAAGACCTAGTTTTTAACGGAAGAGTCTCCCATGAAGCTCTTGTGTCTTGTGTCCTATGGAGCTCTTCAGGATCACAGCAGGATCCACATAAGGCAAAAAATGGAAGCTTGTTCATGGGTATCTTGTGTAAATCTGTTTGACATCTCAGATCGTAGCAGGCACTAGCTGACACAGCTTTTGTGTGCGCCCCCAAGGGCTACAACCTTTTCTCAAAAATTAAAAGGCGTTGAAATTTGGTGCCAAAGGGTAGATAACATACTTGCACTACAATCTTGCTGATGCATACACACAACAATCTAGTCACGTTCTGTCTCTGATTTCTGCAGTTTTCTTCCCCAGTTAACTCCACAGCATTCATGTTTGCATGTCACGGTAAAAGGTAAAAGTAAAGGGACCCCTGACCATTAGGTCCAGTCATGACCAACTCTGGGGTTGCGGCGCTCATCTCGCTTTATTGGCCGAGGGAGCCGGCATACAGCTTCCGGGTCATGTGGCCAGCATGACTAAGCTGCTTCTGGCGAACCGGAGCAGTGCACAGAAACGCCGTTTACCTTCTCACTGGAGCGGTACCTATTTATCTACTTGCACTTTGACGTGCTTTCGAACTGCTAGGTTGGCAGGAGCAGGGACCAAGCAACGGGAGCTCACCCTGTCGTGGGGATTCGAACCGCCGACCTTCTGATCAGCAAGTCCTAGGCTCTGTGCTTTAACACACAGCGCCACCCGCATACCATGTCATGGTAAAGCATAGTTAACCATGAGCATGTAAATGGCTCCTACTTCACTTCTCTACAAGCGGGAGCAACAAACCAGGATCCCTGGGTTAGGTCTAGTGTTTTATCTGAATTGGGGAATGTGGTTTGTTTCACAGAAGCAAAAAGCAAATAGAAGTCAAAAACAAATCTTAGCTTCATGTCATGATTTGTTTGGGGTGGGGGGAACGAGCCACGACTCCTAGTTGAGACACAAAACCTAAAACAAGGATTGTGGTTTGTGGCTTCCACAAGGGGAGGGGCAAAGAGAGAGCTGCTATAGATTGCTGCAATGTGTAAATAATTGGCTGGAATATTGGCCTTCAGTGAAATATGCAATCAAAGGCACAAAGTAGGCAGACCGACTCCTGTGTCACAGAGGATAATTAAGGTGTCTTGACGAAAGACAAAGTTGACTTGTGGAAAGTTCCCTCTTATCCTTACTTACTTTCAGCACTTTTTATGGCATAGACATCAATGTAAGGGTCAAAGTCGCCAGGTCCCAAAGGCTTGTGGGAGTTGAGATAGCTGCCAATACCCTCAGGAGAAGTTCCATAGGAACCTACTGATGCCACACCCCCAGGTTCACCCTCTCCATCCTCCTCTTCCTCTTTCACATCCTCGTCTTCTTCCTGTTCAGCTCGTTGCACGTCATGGATCCCCAACAGTAGGCTGTAGTCCATAATCTTTAGTTGCACTAGGAACTGAACATATGGACACAACTGTCAGTAAACTAAGAAGTTAACAATGGGCTTGCTTTCTAGTTATTACAAGTGGAACGCCTCTAAAAAACTGGTTGTTATCCAGTGCTGTCTCTGCATGGGCAAAACGGACAACCCCATGTGCAATGCAGAATAATACTACTACTAATAATAACAATAATACCCCACCCATCTGACTGGGTTGCCCCAGCCACTCTGGGCAGTTTCCAACAGAATACAGGCAACGACCAAGATACACATGTCCAATAGACATGTGCACATGTACACTGTGGCAATCTGGAAGTGGCTGGAAAAGGGAGCATAACGGGCTTATGCATGCTCTGCCGTTGCGCGCGATGATCCGGAATAAAACCCTTGTGCAAATCGGGGGTTGCCTGTTTTATAAACATACCAAGGGTTAACTACAGATTAAATTACCTTTTGTGTAGGAATTCAGCTACTGATCGTAAGTGCAAAACCCAGAGGGCAGAATTTACTCTGGATTCATCAAGAAAAATAAAGACCATTTCCTCTTCTTTAAAAAGGGAGTGCAGTTTTAATCCAAAGGTGGCATGTGGTGTTTCTTTTTGGGGGGAGGTGGGGGGGGGAAGAAAAGAGAACCACCCTCTCCTGGCAGCCTGTCCCCATGATTAATTGCCTTGGCTGTTCAAAGCTGTGTACCTCCTTTGTAACTGGAATGCCTCCAGGTTTTGACTCTCAGACTCCTGTCCTTGTTCTGCCTCCGCTCAGTTGGCTGAAGCACCATTAGTAATCAGTATTTTCTTCATAACCCTGAGAAAGCTGGCAAACCCACCAAAACTTCTCCAGAATCACAGACTGAACACAATGGGAGCCAAAAATCTCATGCGCAAGTGACACAACTGGCATCAAGAGGCAGGGAAGGGGCCACAAACCATCCCACACCCCAATACGGGGCCTTAGAGACCTAGAGAGCTTTTCTTTAGGGTCTCAGTCCACGCTTGTGTGAGTATGCGCCTCAGTTCTTCAGATGCTTAAGGAATTCTCATTCTCACTGAGAGAGAAGTTAAAGCACTGAAGGAGTAGGGATTATTCAGTAAGCGTTTACTTGTATTAATGGATGCAGTACTATTATTAATTATATATTTTTGTTTATTACATTTATATACCACCTTCCAAGGAGCTCAATGTGGTGTCCATGGTTCCCCTCCTCCCCATTTCATCCTCACAACAACCCTGTGAGGGAGGTGAGGCTAAGAGAGGGTGACTGGGCCAAGGTGAGCTTCATGGCTGAGTGGGGATTTGAACCCTCGTCGCCCAGGTCATAGGCCAACACTGTAACCATTATGCCACCCTGGCACAATAGTACCACTACTAGTGCTAATAATTTGCATTTCTACAGCGCTTGAGAATGTTCAAAGCACTTCATGTAATTATCTCAGTAATCCTTATGGCACGACACACAGATCAGGTCTGCAGCACCTGCAGATCCCAGCTGCTGGGTCAAGGCTGTAAGAATTCATATCTGAGATTCTGTTCCAAGGACTTCTTGGCTCAAATCTCACGTGCTTTTAACCAGGATGCTACAACAGTTCTTTCGGTGGAGGGACTGTACGGCTCGTTCAAGTTTTCTCTCAACCATGAAACTCACTATCATCTCAGCCTTACCGACCTCACAAGATTGTTGTCAGGATAAAACAGAGGAGGGAAGAATTACCTCTGCTACAGGAAGGGGAAAATGCAAATGCAATAAAATTTAAGACTCCGTAAATCCTTGTGCATGCGAATATTAACAACATATGGCTCAGTTTCCCCTTGTGCATCCATCTTTGAAGTAACCATCATCATAAATAAAGTTACGCACATTTCAAGTATTCAAAGTTGTAGTTAGTGTCAGACTAGGCCCAGGGAGACCTTGGTTCAAAACCCCCACTCAACCACAAAGCTCAATGGGTGACATTGGGCCAGTTATACCTGAAGGAGCGTCTCCACCCCCGTCGTTCTGCCCAGACGCTGAGGTCCAGCGCTGAGGGCCTTCTGGTGGTTCCCTCATTGTGAGAAGCAAAGCTACAGGGAACCAGGCAGAGGGCCTTCTCGGTAGTGGCAACCGCCCTGTGGAACGCCCTCCCATCAGATGTCAAAGCGATAAACAACTGCCTGACATTCAGAAGACATCTTAAGGCAGCCCTGTTCAGGGAAGTTTAATGTGTGATATTTTAATGTATTTTTAATCTTTGTTGGAAGCCGCCCAGAGTGGCTGGGGAAATGCAGCCACATGGGTGGGGTACAATTATTATTATTATTATTATTATTATTATTATTATTATTATTACTACTACTACTACTACTACTACTTCTCTCTCTATTATTACTTCTCTCTCCCAATCTAACCAACCTAATTTCATTCTGAAATGAAATGAAATATTTCTATTGCACATGGGAAGCCAAGGTTGACACACCAGCAGGTGTTTGCGGCTGAGGTAAGTTTGAATGCGAGGCATATGCTGCCACTACCAGGTGTCCCCCTCAGGAAAGCAGAGGGGAATTTTGGGGTAAGCCACTTTGTGAACCCTTTTTGGAAGCGTTATGTATATGAGAAGACACCAGAGTACAGAAGCAGGGCATTCAAATAGAAGAATCCAAGGCCTTCTTCCCCTCCCTTTCCTCATGTGAATGCGGCCTGTGCAGACGCTTTCACAGAGACCAACCAGCAGAAGGGCATCCATGCTGAGGAAAATTTCAGGCAGATTATTCCTAGGGGCCGTCACTAGGCGACTCCAATTTCTGTCCTCAAAAATGCTTCAAGTTCTGTAAATCACGAAACCTAATTTTCTATCGTTTCCCTGATTTGGGTCACAAGCGATGTTCAGCTCTAAGCAGGGGTGGGGTGGGGAGGAATGTCAGGGTGGGACTCAGCTGATGGAAGGGGTAAGGCTGTGCGGAATACTGGGTTAGAAATTAGACTCCGAGTGTCTGCAGCCTTCCCACCCCCCACCTCACATGCTATTAGCAGTCATTAAGGCTAATAGGGTGAATCTTGCACTGCAGAAGCATTTTCAGTTCTGCAGACTCAGTCCCCAAGGAAATATAATAGCTGATGAGATAGTGGCTGGGAGCATTTTTCTAGTCTTGGAACCTAACCTCATCTCACTGCAGCAACTTGATTTCCAAACTGCACGAGCACGAACAGGACAGGCAACTGCCAAGTCAGACTTGCCCACTAGGTTGCGTGGGAGATCAGGATCCATCCTGCTCGCCGGATTCAATTCTCCATCCCCGAACAAATAGTTACACATAGCTCTTAGGAACTGGGGGCAGGGATGCAACCCTGCACTAGCACCCCTGTTTCTTGACACTAGCTTGAAAGCCTATTAAAACTCAACACATTTGGGGCTAGAATAAGCTCTTTATCAGGGAACATTGCTCAAAAATGGAGCCTGTTTCAAAGCACGGCTGTGTAGTTCCCACAAAAGTCCCTGTTCTGTCAATAAATCCCTTTCTGTGCCCGCAGATCATTTCCTACTGATATGCATTGACCAGCTGCTCCTGTCTTGCTGTGACTGTCAGGGCTAGGCCCCCTAAGCCACAGTACCTCCACATCTCTCTTTAATTTCTCCATGAAATCTCTCTTGGCTTCTTCGTCAACGTACACTTTCTGGTTCATGTTTCGAAAGTCAATGTCCTTGAGGGTTGGTAGCTCCTTGCCCTAGAAAGGAATAGAAACACATTTCGAATGAAGAGGAGGCACGGGAGCTGAGTCAACAGCTGGCTGAATCTAGACTTGGAGGGCAGAACCAGAGCCAAAACAATGAAGAAGCATTTTTGAATTTTGCTTTCAACCTTCTTGCAAGCCTTCGCAGAACATGGTTATGGGGCACCATCTAACTATTTTAAATAAATAATAAAACGTAACTAACTCCCTGTTTTTAGCAAGATCACTTTCAAGAACAACATGGACCTTTATTATGCAACAAATCTCCTGGCCAGGAGATCACTGCAGAATTACCACCTACCTCCTACTGACTCTCACTCTTTTGAGGGTGCCTCAAAAGGATTTTCAGGAAGCTGAATTCTGTGCCCATTTCTACATTCTTCTGCTGGGCTTCCAACAGAATCACAGCCCACAGAAGTCCTGACTATAATGTTAAATTCTACTTAGTTCCATAAGATGCTGCCAACCATTGGTCCACCTAAGCCTGGAATTGCCTGTGACAACTGCTTTTTAAGGTCCTTTTCCATCCCCTGCTACTGGAACCTTTTTTAAACCAGTGATACCAGGAATTCAACTTGGGATCCTCTGCATTCACATCACATGCTCCACCACTGAGTTATAGCCCCTCCCCTCTTGATCTCCATTTTCAACACCCTGGAATTTGATGTCAATGCAAACATTAATCCTGCAAACTTATTCCAAGGAAACAACTCGCCAGTAATACCCCTTTGCGCATATTTTAAGCCTCCATAGTCTCCACTTCTTCTAGTTTAGTCAAGGTCTGTTTATTCTGCCTCGCACATGCAGATACCAGGAGTGCAATGTAAATGCATATATGCCCTTGCCTAATTTTTTTAAGAGATAAATATGCTCTCAGGTCATGCCTCTATCTTCCTTTGCAAAGAGGGCCATCATCACCTTGAGGTTTAAGCCAGCAAGCCAAAAATCACTTCACAACACATCAAAACAGAGGGAGAAAGCCACAATCTCAAATTACCTTCTCTTTATCACTAGCTTCACGGGATACCAGGGAGCCCTGGAAAAAAAAGCAGAAACACAAACATTAAGAAGCATGGTTCATAAACACAAATGGACATGGCTTTCAGGGCAGGTCTGAAATCAATGGGTGCTGTGCTAAGGAGATTGTTCCATCAGGGCTCGACAAAACAATCTTCACTCTCTTTCCTCCATGTCCTGTTCTGGGGGTTACCCCAACCCCCCAAGGCAGATGAGGGAGGCACAAGGGGCACCTAGGAAGAGGAGTGTGGGGAAAGCCCCACTGTGCTAGCACTGGCTTCTGCTACCAGGACCCGTTGGTTGAATCCAGCCCACAGCGTTCGCATAAACATCAGTTAAACAAGCTGGAAACCAAAAGATCATCATTATTGGAGGGGGAGGGGCAAAGAGGTATATGTCTCGAAGCTAAAAAGTACCTTCAAGTGCTCTCCAAAAGAGTATCATTCCACTAAATATAATTCTCTGCTTTTCTACGCCACAATGTTCTATTCTTCATAGTCTGTGTATTTTAAACAACTGACTTTTTTTTTTATATTGTTGTGATACACCCTGGGTCCTAATGGCAAAGGGTGGGTAAGAAATCCAAGTAATAGTAACAGTAAAAGCAGTGTTTTTATGCATTATGATGTTGTCCTGCCTTGACCAGATGTAAGATAAAAACAATATTGTTCAAACTGTTCCTGTTACTGAGTTTCACAGAGATACCTGCCACAATTCTGTCCCCAGGGCGTATTACAATGGGCAAGATAAGACCTACGGACACTGTCCTCCACCATCTGCCGACCACAAAGGCACCAAAGAATCATAGAATCATAGAGTTGGAAGAGACCACAAGGGCCATCGAGTCCAACCCCCTGCCAAGCAGGAAACACCATCAGAGCACTCCTGACATATGGTTGTCAAGCCTCTGCTTAAAGACCTCCAAAGAAGGAGACTCCACCACACTCCTTGGCAGCAAATTCCACTGTCGAACAGCTCTTACTGTCAGGAAGTTCTTCCTAATGTTTAGGTGGAATCTTCTTTCTTGTAGTTTGGATCCATTGCTCCGTGTCCGCTTCTCTGGAGCAGCAGAAAAACAACCTTTCTCCCTCCTCTATATGACATCCTTTTATATATTTGAACATGGCTATCATATCACCCCTTAACCTCCTCTTCTCCAGGCTAAACATGCCCAGCTCCCTTAGCTGTTCCTCATAAGGCATCGTTTCCAGGCCTTTGACCATTTTGGTTGCCCTCCTCTGGACACGTTCCAGTTTGTCAGTGTCCTTCTTGAACTGTGGTGCCCAGAACTGGACACAGTACTCCAGGTGAGGTCTGACCAGAGCAGAATACAGTGGCACTTGCACCAGTTCAGATGCAAGAAATCTCTGCGTCTCCATCCAGATAGGCAGAGGGCACAGTCTGGAATCAAAAGGCCGCAACATAAACAGCAGCGATGGCACTCTGCATAACACCCTTCACCGTGCAAATTACAGACTATTCATTTTAACCATATAAGGCAAGCAATTATATTCGCTCCCACTTCATAGGAGGAGGGCAGGAGGCTGAGGAAGCATGACTTGCCAAGGCTACCCAGAGAGTTTTTGATGCAGCCAAAATATGAACCTAGGTAGGTCTCACCTGCTGCAAAAGCTCTGCTTGGGCAGTAAAGTTACTGAGTTGTTGCTGCAGATATTTGTTTGTTTGTTTTTAAATAAGACTTCAGATGTTAGGATGGAAACCTTTCTTGGCATTTTTCAAAACGCAAAAATTATACCACAAGGCTGTTGTTTCAGGCTTAAGGATGCAATGGTACTTGAAGCCTGATGCAAGTACAGAATGGAGGTATCAGCAGGTCTGGGGGAACCCCAAAGGCTTGCACAAGAACTATTTTTAAAAAACAACACACACAAAAAACATAGGGGGGGGGCAAAACAACACAATGAGGTCCAAGCATGCTCAGTGGCCACAGAATGCTGACTGGCTGCTTGCGGGCAGGGACTGGGAGGGGGAAACAACAGGAGAGGGAGAATAGAATAGAGTTGTCCTGCAGGAGAGCAGCGAACAGAAACACTCCACACTGCAGCATTCCACTGCAGGCCACAGCATCTGTCCTCTCAACCAGGGCTACATTGCTGCTATGTCCTGTGCAGCACCTAGCACATTGCTGGCCCTCAAGGTGGAGCTGACAAACAGCAGAGCCTGGGCATCAGAAGGGGAAGCAACTCAGTGGGTTAAATCCAGTCTTTTGCCCTGAAAGGAGATATCCTATTTTGAAAACCTCACAGGCAATGCCTATTTTGTAATCCTAGGCCACCTGCACTGGCTGCCGATTCGCTTCCATGCCCAATTCAAAGTGCTAGTTTTGACCTAGAAAGCCTTAAGTGGCTCAGGACCACAATACCTCAAGGACCGCCTCACCCCATATGAACCGACCTCTGAGGCCCTTCTTTGTGTGCAGCAACACGAGAACAGGCATTTTCTGCAGTGGCTCCCCACTTGTGGACTGAGCTCCCTAGGAAGATTCGCCTGGCACCTTCATTATATATCTTTAGGCACCAGGCAAAAATATTCCTCTTCTTCCAGGTCTTTGACTAATTAAACAATATATTGCCTTTTAAACTGGGTGAGTGGGTTTTTTGTTACCATGTTATGTATTTTCACGTTTTTATATCGTATACTGCCCTGCGGTCCTCAGACGAAGAACTGTATAGAAATTTAATAAGTAAATAATCAACCATCCAGGTTGATTAACAACATATCCAGGTTACTCCAACTGCATTCCTTTATAATAAGCACATCAGCTGTGGCCCTCCAGCAAAAGCTGCGTTTATACTGTGGCCCTCATTGCAGTTCAACCCTCCAGCCGCATCTTCTAAAATGTTCGTAACTGCAAACAAGGGCCTAGTTAACTCCACTATAAAAGATCTATGTAACCTTGCTCTGGGTCAGTTTAATGATGTGCAGCCAGGCTGAAGGAAGATAGGGGCAGACATGATTCATCTCATTCTCCTAGCTTGGTTTTCCAACACACACACGGGGGGGGGGGGGAGAGACCCTGAGTTTGATACTGTCCATGTACTGAACAAATTCCCTGAGGGGGCCATTTCATTGCAATATCAGAACATTTAATCAGCACAGCAAGCCACATGTTGCTTAATAGACATTGGGAGAGGGAGCAGAGAGTGAAGCACAGACCTATCAGAGAAGGTCTGTACCACAACCTATTTTAACTGTCCGCCTAACGCTGGGCAATGCTTCTGCCGGGCAAGGACACGAGGAGGGCTGTGGAATGAGAATGTGCTCAGCAGGCTGGCAGGAGCCTTCAGATTGTCAAGGAAGGAGGAATGGATCCTCTCTTATGTGCTGCCTTCAAATCAAAAGCGGATGCCCTTCTTGGGAGATGCAACTCAGCCAAATATGTTTTAATTGGCTTGATCAAGATGGTTGGTGGAAGCCCAAAAGGGAACTTTCTGCCCGGCGCAAACCAAAATTTATCTGACCTTAGAAGTGATACATCATCAAACTAAGAGGGAAGCGAAGGATTCCTGCCTTGGAGATGGATCTATTTATCAGTGTGAAGGGTGCTTTGCAGAGCAGCATAAGCAAAAGACAGTCCTTTGCTCCAAGCAGCTTATGGTCTATATTTAGGCACCCTGGTTGGGTGGGGAGGGAGGGAAAAGGAGATACGAGGAACAAATAGAAGCAAAAGCCTTTGCACACACATAGGCTTCATTTCAGGTGGGAATGAGGACTAAGGATGTCCCAAAGAGGAGAGTTTGGAACTGGGGTTACAAGCCAAAGAGGGAAGGCTTTTGTAGGAAGGGGCGTGCAAGTAGGCCGGAAAGCCTCAGGCAGCTCAAGATAGGAGAGCTGAAGGAACAAGCTATTTGTTCAGTCATTCGACATTTTTAAATACTGCTTTTTTCTCTACCTGTTTCATTGGCAAGTCAACTAGCCTGCGGAAGTCACATGGTTGCCCTTAGAGTATAGTTCAGCAGAACCTCAGCCTCCCTCTGCACCAGGGTTAATGGGTACTGAAGCCATGGCCCTGCCAAGTGAAGATGCTTCACTGACCAGAGCCAGAGCTAGTCACCTGGACAAAGCTGTGCCTCTGTTTAAGTCTAGGTTTGAAGGTTGCTGAAGCAATATTTGAAGGAAATTTAACAAACTGAAGGACATTGTCATCTTTCTATGCTCCTCCCGGAGGAAACACGCAGATGGGGACAGATATAGCCCTGCTTTAAGCCATTTACATACTGTCTTCTCTTCTATATTATTTACTACAAAGCTTGATGACTAAGCTCTTTAGCAACGAAACGTAGGATTACCAGAACAACGTCTGAGCACTGAACCACTGGTATATTACAAGTGGACTCTTTATTACTGCATTTGCTACTGTTTAGGATAAAACCTATTTGGCAAAGAAACTACTTTTGCCATTTTTACGGACTTTTATTGTTTGTTTACAGTTGGCAGTAGTCATTGTATCACCACCCTGTTCGTTGTTTTATTGAAGCAATATTTGAGTCTGCTCTATGCCTCTCAGGCTTGAGCTTCAGGCGCAACTACACAGGGTGCTACCCAGTTTATTTGACTTTGCCTTCCAGGAACTTGACTTTTGCTTTGCTTGAATTTTGCCTTGCCAGAATCTGAACTTGTGCTTGATTTTGTCTTGCTCCCTTTGGAGCAGTGGTGGGAAACCTTTTTGGCTCCATGGGCCAGACCCTTATCAGGATCTGCTTCACGGGTCAAATCTTGACAGGTAAGTGGGGCTGCCCACCTGCCAAAATCCCTTTTGCGCTGCTCTTAAAAGGGAAGTGGGAGGAGACTTAAGAGAAGGGGACTCTTTTGCCAAGTCTCCTCCTCCTTCTTCCCTTTTAAATCCCCAGATCTTGCTCCACTCAAATCTTGCTGCCTAGCCTGCTGAGAGCAGGATTGTGCAGCCGATACAGATTGAAACCTTGTTCTCCCACCCATCACTTGATGGGTGCATATGGTTTGGGGAGGGGGAATGGCTTGGCAGGCAATGGCTGGCTCAGGGTCAGAGGTTCCCCACTCTTGTCTTGGAGGAAGCCAAACTTGTGCCTACAGTACACATGAACCCATCAGGCTGCAATTACATCCAGCCAAAAACTCTGCCTGGAACTAATGGCATCTCAACTTAATAAGCAGAGAGAGGATCACCTGAATTGAGCCAATTTCTCATGTCTTACAAGCAGATGTCTGTCTCATTCCTGCTACCAGAGATAATTAAAAGAGATGGAGGGCTGAAGCAGGGAGCTCGTGGGTGCAAATCGCACACCCTGCCACTGAACAATGGCCTCTGTGGGTGCCACATCGCACAGCAGGTGGGAATGGTGCAAATCACACAGGACACACCCTATTTCAGTGACTCCGTTTCATTTTTGAACTGTTTCGAACAGTTAAAGTTCAGATGACCAAATTTTAGATTGTTTTAACACGCTCTGGGACCTGATGCTAAAAAGTGCATGCGAAATCTTTTTATAAACAGTTCCACACATGCTCATATGTTTTCACAACTATGTAGTGACTATCATGTCTATTTTACAGATGGAGAACAGAGGCGCAGAATTCTTGCAAACAAGGCTTTTCAGGAGAAAACCTGGATGCTGCAACTCAGCACTGTGTTTTCCAGCTTCCTGCCTGATTACATATTTCCTTTATATCCCCTGCCCTGGCTCTGTACTCTCATGGCAAAGTGAGGATGATCTGAAATTCAGTAATGTCATGGAAGGCATACAGTGCCAGAAAGCTAGATAAGAACTTTGTGGCCTTTTAAAAAGAAGAACAGAAGACACTGACTCCACCTAGATACAACTATACCCAGTGCCACCTGGCGACTAAAGCGTATAATGACACCATCTACTCAAGCATCTTCTGAAAGCCAGGCGTGCCAAGGTGAGGGGAGACTGCAAACCTTTGAATAAATATGGGCCAATAATAAGAAACTGGTGACATAATTCCAATGACAAGCTTTGCCTCTGGTGCAAAAACCCAGCACTGCTCTGTCTGACATATTAGCATTTTAGACACAGCATTATGCAACTACCACGCATTACATATTGCAGCTTCCACAGCTAATTGGTAAAGCTCTGGAGATTTCCAGAGCAAACATCATGCACATACATGGGCAAATGAGAGAAAAAGATGGACAAACAGGACCAAAGACTTGGGACTCAGCTACATTGGCAAAGAAAAATCACTTTATATGTGTTGTTTATGCATTCTAACACTGTGACACCAGATGGCGCTGTGGAGTTCCGTTTTTGCTAACCTGATTTCTCATACAAAGTTTGCAACGCGTTTAACTGAAACACTTCTTTGATGTGTCTAGATCCAGCCTTGGTGCACACTTCCTGCCTGCCCTCCACTACCCGTTACCTTCAGATCGTACTTCCTGTGCACGGTGAGCCTGTGGCTGAACATGTTCCTCATGACCAGCATGTAGCTCTCCTCGTTGTCCACACTGAGCCGGTACATACCCAGGAACTGAGGCAGGAGGGTGCTCCCGTGACACTTCACAATGTACTGGAAGAAGGAAACAAGATGTTCAGGAAGTACTATTTGCTAAGTACTGCACTAGTGGGCCCAGAACAAAGATCACCAAAAGCTTAGACAAGACTTATGCACAGTAGGGGGATGACTTCAGGAAGGCAAATCCAGAAATGGAACCGTAATCTTCTCTGTTGGAGTCCCAGTCCCCAAACCACAATTCTCCTGCATTTTGGCTTGTTGGGGCTTTCATTGGTCAGGGTGCAACAGACTCAGCTAGCTATCCTTTGCCAATGAGGACTATTCCTCAGCACTTAGCTTGCTATCCAGTTCTTTGGGTCCTATTCCCTCTTCACTAACCTCCATCCTCTCTTGATCACAGGACCACTGTCTTTTCTTGAGCACCAAGTATACCCAGCCTAGATTTAAAAGGGACTCTAGATCTTCCACCACAGCGGCTCAAGGAGGACTAATACCCACCCATCCCACTCACACAGAGGCAGGCAGCGAAAATCCAGTCACTGTTTTCCCAGTGCATCATCTGTAATTAATCTCTGGCCTTGCTAATACAGACATTGCCATGCTTTTCTTTACTTCTCCACTCTGCCTTATGAGTCCTGTGCATGCTGGTTAGCACCAGAGACACATATTAAAAAATCAGCAATATTTTGATTTTCTTTTTTAAAGGAGAGTAGCCATTGTTTTCTTCACCTCAGAACACATCAACCTGCAACTTGTTTTGCATCATAACCTAACCTAAGGAAGCTGGTGTGAAGTTACAGGGAACCAGGCAGAGGGCCTTCTTGGCAGCGGTGCCCTCCCTGTGGAACACTCTCCCATCAGATGTCAAGGAGATAAAGAACTACACAACTTTTAGAATACATTTGAAGGCAGCACTGTATTAAGAAGTTTTAATGTTTGACGTTTTATTATGTTTTTATATGTGCTAGAAGCTGCCCAGAGGAGCTGGGGAAACAAAGCCAGACGGGCAGGATATAAATAATAAAATTATTATTATTACAATTCATCCTAAAGCTATTATAAGCTATTACAAGCTAGGCTTTTCATCATGGCCAGCAATATTCTTCACCACATTTTTAAATAAAAGCTTAACATGTAATCTGAAAAAGAGTCCTGGTGGACTCAAAAGTTTGCTCACTACTTTGTGAATTTTACTTTGTTCTGTTAAAGGTACTGCAATAATGTTGCTGTTTGGATTTTTTCATCCTAGTGGACCAACATGGCTATCTATACGGAATGCTTCTATATCAATACTGATGAACAGGTCTCAATGTATTCCTTCCACCTATTATTAGATGGCCCAAATGAAGAATTTGGTAGCCTGAGGACAGGGCCTTTTGTGTTTTGAACTTCAGTACAGTGCCCACATCTGTGAGGTGCTTTACAAACAACACTGATGTTGTTCTTAGCTAGCAGGGCACTCAGCATTCCTTAAATGTCAGCTTTCAGTATTTTTCCTTTTGAAAATTGCTCCTAAGGCTATGGAGAGAAGCTTGACAGCATGCAGTAATGCCTGATCAGATCTCAGTTGTAGGTGAGAAACGGAGAACAACTTCCAGTGGTCAGGGGGCAGGAGCTACGCAGAACCCTGAAGCCCTTTTCCCTGTCCATGGCTAGCAGAAAGAACTGTGCAAACTTGCTTAATTTGCTTAAGCTTTGCTTCAGTGCACTAAGATTTTATATTTACTGTTATTGATTATATTCTCGTGGGGTGGTTTGGGTTTGGATCCCAAGTTAATTTTTAAAAGTTCACAGAAAGACAGACCATTTCCTGTCCCCGCCTCCCGTCATGCAGCTCCCTGCACACCAAGAAGTCACTCTGGAGGATCAATGGGCCCTACTGAAGAGATGTGGGGTGAGGCACAGGTGGCCCTTGCTTCCATGAGCATCCTTCAGGTGAACTTATTTTACGCTCCAAGTCAGAGTCCACATCACATGCCTACAACCCCATGCAAAGAAGCCCGCTTGCCTTCACGTCTTACCTGGTGGTAGTGAGACAGAAGGCTATGCACGTCAGCCACATCTTCACTGGAGATCTCCTTGATCACCAACGTTCTGTCGTAGGACAGGAGGAAGCGCCCCCCACCCTCAATCTCGTAAGTGGGCGGACTGCGCGTCAGCGAGACCTGAAGAAGTCAGAATGAACCAATGACAACAAGGCTCTGTACCGATGACCCTGGCATGGCTGATTTATCTTTTTGATAAGGGTGGGCAACAAGGGAGTTAAAGATAAACCTTCCCTGGCTATGGAGTAGCAAAAAGCTGAACAAAACTTCTGGGCCCCAGATCTTCCCTCAAAGGGTCACTTCCCCTGTGGCATTGCCTCTTTGAAAGCCACCTTCAAGGCAGCCGTTCCTTAGGGAAATGGGGTGGTGCAGGAAATGCTGAGTCATAGAATCATCGATTTGGAAATGACCACAAGGGTCATCTAGTCCAACCCCCAGCAATGCAGGAATCTTTCTGCCCAACATGGGGCTCAAACCCAGAACCCTGAGATTAAGAGTCTCGTGTCCTACTGACTGAGCTATCAATAATATTTATGAAGTCCAGGAAAGAGATTCTGCTGCTTGCTTCAGTTTGCTTCAGTGCAAAGCCAGAGCGGTGCCCTCCGGATGTTTTTGGACCACAAAACTGACCATTGGGTCATACTAGCTGGGGTGGATGGAAACTGTAGTCCACAACATCTGGAAGGCACCATGTTTGTTACCCTCGCTCTCATGAGAGAAACCAGACCAAGAACACATTAAAGAGGGTACACTCAAATGCTGCTTTGTTAGCATCCCGGACGTCTCACCCTCTGGCTCTCTTTAAAGAAAAGGAAACTTGGAGGGTTAAAATGTGCAGAGAGAAACAGGCAGTTCAAGGGGTCTGTGGGAGCTGCTGGGGGCTCTTTCCCCTTCTATTGTGATCTCTCATATGCTAATCTTTCCCTCTTCTCCCTCTTCCAAATACAGAGAATGCCAGGCACAAATAGCGATGTGAGGTGAGAATATTCTCGAGAATGCAAATATTCTTGAGAATATTTTCTGCTAGAAAATTCTCCAGTTAATATTCTCCACAAACTGTAAATTCTAGCGTAAGAACCAGTTTTATAACCCACATTAAAAAAATCTAGTAAATAATAAGTCAAGCTGTGATATTGCCAGTGTAAGTAATGAATAATGATTTTTTTCCCTGGTCCAGTTACATTACTAGGCTTGTGTCTTTCAATATGGGCAGTTCTGAAATGTGAGCTATAGAAAACATTTTAATTTTTTTTAAGTTTTAAAAATATCATTCATTTAATTTGATGAACATTTGAATCTGTATGTATTTCAACTATATGTGATAGCCTTTTTTTCTAATTTGGTGTGACCTTATTCTTAGCAACTGTATACCCTTGGCCATACAGTGTAATTTTTTTTTAAAAAAAAGAAAGTAGCTTTAATGCTTTATACACTTAAAGTACCTAAGCCTATACAATTATGTGTAACAGCATGTGAGGTAGCCTTGATTTAAACAGTTGACGTTTCTATATTTTTATTTAGTGCCAGTAATTGGTTTTGCAGTGCCATTTTTTAATATTCCTTTTACTTTAAAAGCTACATTTCATGCATACACAACATAATTTGAATTCAAATTGGATGGTAAATATACGTTTAGTGGCAGGCTCAGTGAATAACGCGAGTCATTCACGTTGCATTTTCAATTTCAAGTTTGGTGCAAAAAATCAAAGAATGTGAATTCACTGCATTGCCCCATTGAATAAAAGTATGTGTACAGTTTTTGGTTGCCATCTGAACAAGTTTACCCATGAACAAACATGTATATTAACTAATTATATCATTTTCAATGCATTAAAATGAATATTCTCCTATTTTAAATGAAAATTATCTAATATTCTCATTAATCGAGAATATTCTCCAAAAGATTATTCTCGAGAATTTAACATTACTAGTCACAAACATCCATTTGTCACATCTTATCTTGCAACCATCTTGTTGGGACACAGGTGGCGCTGTGGGTAAAACCTCAGTACCTAGGACTTGCCGATCGTATGGTCGGCGGTTCAAATCCCCGCGGCAGGGTGAGCTCCCGTCTTTTGGTCCCAGCTCCTGCCCACCTAGCAGTTCGAAAGCACCCTTAAGTACAAGTAGATAAATAGGTACTGCTTTATAGCGGGAAGGTAAAGGCGTTTCCGTGTGCTGCGCTGGTGCTGGCTCGCCAGAGCAGCTTCGTCACGCTGGCCACGTGACCCGGAAGTGTCTTCGGACAGCGCTGGCTCCCGGCCTCTTAAGTGAGATGAGCGCACAACCCTAGAGTCGGACACGACTGGCCCGTACGGGCAGGGGTACCTTTTACCTATCTTGCAACCATCTTATATGCAGTAGCCCAGCCTCACTACCCTCACAATGCAGACAGGAGCGGGGCCATCTAGACAGCAGTTCATGGCAGAGGTAAGGTTCAGAGTGGGGACTTTGTAATTAATAGCTCATTCTCTTAAGCCTTCCAACTCCCATTGGGTGTTCATACACAACTCAGTACCCAACTGGCTATTTGTAACAGGTGTCATAACTACTGCAGTGCCTGGGCAAGCAAATTCAGGAACAAAGGCAGTAATCTATGGCTGCAGTCAGAACACTGGCCTTATCCCACCTCAAACATCAGTTTCTCTCAAGAGAACATGCCTGCAACCAATGCCTCCAGTGAGCTTATTAGTAGCCTATGATTGCGCCTTATGGGGCAATCTTCCTGCAGTGTGTCCAGCTGAGCAATTTATAACCCTCCCAATTAGCTCCACACTGGAAGTGTACACTATGATTTATTAGCTGAATTTCAAACTTGCTTTCGAACCAGCATTCTCGTGTTCGAAAAAACAAATTACTGAAGTTGTGCATGATTTTAAATTTAAAACTAGCAGATACATACTGTACTAAAATAAAATATATAAAACCTGAACAAAATCACAAAACTATAAAACCTGGATATATAATAAAATGACAGCAACTATAAAATCTGAATGAACCCAGTAAAGAAAACACCTGCTCATTAGCTTTCTTCTAAAACAGGAGAAGCCTAATGGGAAAAGCATCAGCAATTTCTCCCAAAGCAGGCCTGGAGGGCATCTCTGGGAAAGGAGTTCCACAACAAGGAAGGCATTCAGCCTTGTGCATTACACTCTGAAGTCCAGTATATGACAGCAGTAAGGGGGTCGGAGGCAGTGATACTACACACACACTACAGCTGAGTACCTAAAGTTTTGTGCAGGCTTGTAAGAGTCTGAAGTGTAAGACATACCTGATAATCCTGGTCATCAATGCTGAAACGTTCGCGAAGATTGCGGAAGACCTGTGGGCAGTATTCCTTGAATTTGAAATGGCTGGGCAGGTTTTCTCTGCAAGAGTCGAGTGACAAGAGTTAGCTGCTACTCCAAAACTCGGACTGCACATGCAGCAGGATGAGCTGGAGGAGGATGGTGAACTAGAGCTGGGGGTGGGGGGAATCACATTTCTGAATGCACCTCTATGAAAAAACAAAAACAAAAAAGCCTCCCCCCTTCCGCACAAAAATAAGAACCTAGCACATCAGTGAAGACAACAGCCCAGCCTATTCGCTCCCTGTTACGCTAGTTTCTACTTACAGGGTGGGTTTTGGTTTCAGCAAATAAAGAAGCATGATGAAGTTTGATTCTACCCACCTTGCAGCAGTCTGAAGTGGTGCAGCCCAGACCATCACCTCAGACTCTGCTATGTTTGTGGTCCAGGCCTTACCTTCTCCTGCTGTAGATGGGACCAGCTCCCCATCAGAAGCAGCCCATTACAACCCAATCTTATACATAACCAAGCTTCTTCTGCTTCTTTACCAGAAGGCCAGTTTTTCTGACAAGTGAGCAAGGCCTAGTAATAGCTACCAAGTCAATCTGGGCATTATCTCAGTAATCTGTGACCCAAGCCCATTAGTATCCTCTACCACAGGGTGTAATCCTCCATTATTATGCAAATGGTCTCATGACCAGACAGGCAGAACAATCTTCCTTTAATACTAAGCATTAAATACCAGGCAGAGGGGACAGCGTGTGAGAGGGAAATGATTTTTTTGTCCAGCTTTGCACGCGCTATTCAATTTTTTTGTACTTTTCCTGGAGGAAGGTTCAAATCAGGCAATTGCTGGCCTTTCTGGAGTGGTACAACAGAAGTGGGTAACCTGTGGCCACATGCAGCTCCTAACACCTTCTGACACCACCCCATCCTTCCATCCCATCAGAGGTCCTACCTTCCTCCTGAATTTCCATAGCTTTAAAAAGCTGTTTCCCCACCCTCACCCCTCTCTTCCTGTGTGGATTCAGAATAAAAGGGGCCATATATTATTTGATAGAAATAAACTGATGTGTTTAACAAATCTTTTTTCCTGGTATCAAAGCTTGGGAAAAAGACATTTTCTTCTTGGTTTCTGCTCTCTCTGTGTGTGGTCACACTAGTCAGAAAAGAATTATTTTCACATGCTTTCTAGAGCAGTAGCTGCATTGGTCTGCTGAATTAAAAACAATAATATCTGTAAGTTATTTGAGAGTAAACCATTCAAACCAAGTGGGGCTTACTACTCTTCCCAAGAGTAGGCTGGCAGGGGACTAGAAATTCTGAGCAAAGGTAAGGATGGAAGAAGGGGAGTCGTCATTCAGGTTCAATAATCCATAACATTTTTGGAGTGCCCTCCATCCATCGCTAACCTGCAGTCCCCGACCAGTTATCCTGAAGGAATGAGGCCCTTAACAGAAAACACTTGCCCTCCCCTGTGGCACAGTCATAGGATAGCTAGACACCTACACGGCCGCCCATGTGCAGGCTATGCTCTTGAAACGAGAGTGTTGCTAATAGCTGACTTATGGTGAGAGTTGGAGGGTGCTATGTTAGCTTCCCCTGTATTATAGCATGTGCACTTGGAGGAACTATGTCCCTGGGGTACAGCATCTGCAGTCTTTTCTCACAGATGCCTGAAGGAAGCCCACAAGCAAGAGTCGAGCACTACAGCTCCCTCCTGCTCATGATCCCAAGCAACAGGTATATAAAGGTATACTGCCTCTGATAGTGGAGGTAATACATAGCCATCATGGCTGAAGGCACCAAGCCTAATACCTTGCGCTTCCAGTTAAAGGATCTCAAGCAGCAGGGGTGGAATCTGAAGTTGGGCTAGGAAGACTATGTGCCTTTCCGCTCCTAGACATATGCACCACCGGTCCTCACCTGTTGAAGAGATGATTGTTCACCTTTATTTTAGAATTCGCTTTGAAGTCATCAGGGAGCAGCATCACTGGCTGGGGAACTTGACTCAGTTCATTGATCTAAAGAAGGAAAGCAAATGTGAAGCCACTGGCTTCTCTTGTACGAAGCAGCACATGTCAGGAGAATGTAATAGCACCAAGGCAAGGCCTTGAGAAGAGAGTTCTTGTCTACCAAGAGCCCCTGGAGGAAGTGACATCCGGCCGAATGCCATGCCATTTGCAACCTAAGACTTGGTCACTAAAGCTATGCTGTTAGTTTCTCCAAGCCCAGGCTTCCTCAAACTCGGCCCTCCAGATGTTTTGAGACTACAATTCCCATCATCCCTGACCACTGGTCCTGCTAGCTAGGGATCATGGGAGTTGTAGGCCAAAAAACATCTGAAGGACCAAGTTTGAGGAAGCCTGTCAAAGCATATCAGCAGGATGGACCTTTGGCAAAGGGCCATGGCTCAGGGGTACCAGCACACCTGCTTTGCACGCAGCAAGTCTCAGATTCAATCTCTGGCACTTCCAGGTACAGGTGGGAAAGATCCTGGTCTGAAATCCTGGAGAACTGCTACGAGTTGGCATAGGCAGTCCTGAGCTTGACTAACCAGTGGCCTGGCGCAGTGCAAGGCATCTTTCTAAGGCAGCTTCATGCGGTCCTAGTGTGGCGTACAACCAACAAGAAATTAAGTTCAAAGTTGCACCAAGAACGTATGAAAATGTATACAGTATATACTTACAGGAAGAGCATTCAAGAACGTTTGGGTTATCAACAAAGTTAATACAGCAGTTCCTCTAGCCTAGGAAGACTAAGCTAGAGACTCATAGCAGGGAACCACCAGTCAAGACAATGGGCTTCAGACGGAGACAACCAAGGAGGAAGGTTATGGTGAGGATTAAGAGCGCTGAAGAAAATGTTGCTTTAGTCCAGGGGTCAAATAGTCACAAAACAGGTTGCCTCAAAGCATGGGAAAGGAAGACTATAGGGTTGAAAAATGGATTTTCTTGTATTTGCATAATTTTTACCTGGGATTTACTCCAAGCCACCATCAAAAGAAATATCATACCTATCTCCAGTGCTATTTTTCTAGAAAAATAGGTGCTGGAACTCACCACGAACACCTCTCTTGTTCTCTTCAAATGGCAATGGCACCCACCTGAGGGGTGCTGGAATGGAGTTCTGGCTAAAAGAAAGCCCTGCCTACCTCCATGGAATGACCTGTAAAAATCACATATTCAGCACCTGTCAGTGCCATCATGGCACAAAACATGGACCCTTGGAACAAATCCACGTGCTATAGTGGCTGCAATAAGTGCTGGATAACTGGGGGGAGGTTACAATGCAAGCCACAGAAACCAATGGCAGGTTCAATTTGATGGTGGTTTGGAGGAGATGCCTTAAAAAAGTCTTAAGGATCCATGGTTGTTTTTTGCCATCACTGACCCCACCCTGCTGCCCTGAGGTCACCCTTTGCCCATACATCTATCTTTCTGTTCCTCACAAGCCCATCCACCACAGCTCACAGTTTCCTTTGTTCTAGATAGCATTTAGAAGGGATGTCCAATCAGAAGGGTAGAGGGCATGTTTTAAACGTTATACCCACATTCATCACCCCGGGTACCAGCATCTCTCAGGATGTTCCCCCCACATTGTGCTCCTCCAGTGAGTTTTCCTTAGGGGCACCTAGCTTGCCACTGCAGGAGACAGAGTCCCAGGCTAGGAAGACCTTTTGGCTGACCCAGCAAGGCAGTTCTTAGGGATCTGTCACTAACTCAGGAGCCATGGCCAAAGTGGACTGTCAATTCTTGTTCATGAGCTTATCCCAGGATAAAAACTCTGTGATAACAGTCTGGAGCTAAACTCCTCTGAAACTTGATTATGAGAACAAGTCCAAAAGAGAAGTGGAATTTGGATGTGATATCCCGCTTTATCACTACCAAAGGAGTCTCCAAGCGGCTAACATTCTCCTTTCCCTTCTTCCCCCACAGCAAACACTCTGTGAGGTGAGTGGGGCTGAGAGACTTCAGAGAAGTGTGACTAGCCCAAGGTCACCCAGCAGCTGCATGTGGAGGAGTGGGGAATCGAACCCGGTTCACCAGATTACGAGTCTACCGCTCTTAAGCAGTACACCACACTGGCTCTCAGTATTAAACTGATTGTTGTGTAGGCTTCCACATTTAAGAGAGTGAATCTCCCACAGGGAGTTTCTTCCAAGCACCCTCCAGTTCACAAGCCAGGAAAAATACGGAAAATGTACCAACAGCCTGGGCTGCTACAAAAGATCAGGATGTGATCTGTATTGATATGATCATGGAGAGATGAGTGAAGGTGACTCATCGGCATACATATCTGGGCCTGGCCTCTGTGTGAGAGACTGTTTGCTGGCAAGGGAGATGGCAATGCTGGGGGGGGGGAGCCTAAATTTCAGTCGCCTCAGCCCTTTCACCTGCAGCGGAAGCTGCAGTGCTGAGGTAACTTTAAAACCAGTCCTAAGCTGAAGTGATAAGTACGAGTTGACCGGCTGCTAGCATCCAGCATGTCTTGTTTAGGGGAGGACGGGACTGTGATACCTGCTTTGTTGGGGATTATGGAATGAAGTGTTCAAGTCTGCAACACGTATAAATTACCACAAATTAAGCAAATTTGCTCAATCTCTTGTTTTGTAAATTTAAACTGCAAAAAACGGTGAAAAAAAGAAACAAAAAAACAAAATGTTCTGTCTTTGCTGCAGGGGGGGGGAGGCAAGAAAAAAAGTCTATTGGGGGACATGGAAGCTCTGCACTTGGCCACAAGAAGACTCGGCTGGCTTCTGTTATTTCCACAGGCATCACCTACACATTTTCAAGAATGTAATTGCAACCATAGGGTCTAGAAACTTGTCTTTACAAATATTAAAGGTTTGATATTCAGGAAGTTGAATCCCACTGGATTCTGCATGTTCTCTGTGCTGCCTCAGAATCACAGCATACACACTACATAGGCAAAGTCAGTGGGTACATAATACACATGGATGACTGAGTAGAGAGAACCAAATAGTAGGTATCAAATACTGACTAATGCTGAATATGGTGTGAGGACCCTGCCTACATAGGACCAAAGAGGGGGCACTTGTGGTCCTCCAGATGTTGCTGCTGGGCTTCAACTCCCAGCACCCTCAGGCACCACGGGCAATGGTCAGGGGTGATGGGAGTTCGTCCCATCTGGAAGTCCAGATTCCTGATCCCTGCAGTACACTATTCCTCATGAATTTATTCCATTTTCACTTCACTTTCCATCCAAAGTGTTCATAGCTGTTTACATACAGTTCCCATGCAGTCTCCCATCAAAATACCTAAAAGGGCCTGACCTACTTGGCTTCAAAACCGCAGAACTGTGTCGTGTGCCTTTGGACTAGACTCAAATTGAGAGCACTCCAGTTATTGTCAGCCACCAACAGAACCAATGGAGTTCAGCAGCTTTTCCTCACTTCAGGTTTCTGGGAAAGATCAATGTTATTTATCGGGCCTACCGGAATGAACCAATCTGGGATATATCCTTTGTGGCAAAAAAACTGCAAGACCCAATATGCTTCAGAGAAAACAGTAACTGCAGTAAAATGATCAGGCAAATTTTTTACACAGGATTGTGACTACAAGCTCATTCAGCTGGAAGTCTTCTGACATGGGACAGTCTGACCTATCAAACAAAGCCATAAACAGTGCATTGATTTGATCATCATATTAAACCAGTGTTAAAAATATACTATGGTTTGTATCTAACTAAATCACTGTATGTGCAGAACGATTTCCACAAGTGCCACTGAACTTCTGCCCTTCCTTTCCCTATGTACTGCCCCCAATCTGCTCCACAAGGTGTTTTTTTTTGGGGGGGGGGAATCTGGAGCAGCTGGGAGGTGTATATGCAGGGGAAGAAGTTCTATTAGGGTTTGGGCTGGGTGTTCACCAGTATGTAGATGATACCCAGCTCTACCTCGCCTTCCAATCAGAACCAGTGAATGTCCTGTGCGAGTGTCTGGAAGCAGTTGGAGGATGGATGGCGGCTAACAGACTGAGGTTGAATCCTGACAAGACAGAAGTACTGTTTTGGGGGGACGGGGTGGGCAGGTGTGGGGGACTCCCTGGTCCTGAATGGAAGAACTGTGCCCCAGAGGACCAGGTACACAGCCTGGGAGTCATTTTGGACTCACAGCTGTCCATGGAGGCGCAGGTCAATTCTGTGTCCAGGGCATCTGTCTACCAGCTCTATCTGGTACACAAGCTGAGACCCCATCTGCCCACGGACTGTCTCACCAGAGTGGTGCATGCTCTGGTTATCTCCCACTTGGACTACTGCAATGCGCTCTATGTGGGGCTACCTTTGAAGGTGACTCGGAAACTACAACTAAGCCAGAATGCAGCAGCTAGACTGGTGACCGGGAGTGGCCGCCAGGACCATATAACACCAGTCCTGAAAGACCTACACTGGATCCCAGTGCATTTCTGAGCACAATTCAAAGTGTTGGTGCTGACCTTTAAAGCCCTAAACGGCCTCAGCCTAGTATACCTGAAGGAGTGTCTCCACCCCCATTGTTCTGCCCGGACACTGAGGCCCAGCTTTGAGGCCCTTCTGGCCTTTCCCTCACTGTGAGAAGTAAAGCTACAGGGAACCAGGCAGAGGGCCTTCTCGGTAGTGGCACCTGCCCTGTGGAACATCCTCCCATCAGATGTCAAGGAAATAAACAACTTTCTGACTTTTAGAAGACATCTGAAGGCATCTCTGTTTAGGGAAGTTTTTAATGTTTGATGTGTTTTTACTATTCTGCTGGGAGCCGCCCAGAGTGGCTGGGGAAACCCAGCCAGATGGGCGGGGTATAAATATCATTACAGCCGTACCTTGGTTTTCGAACACCTTAGTTCTCGAACATTTCGGCTCCCGAATGCTGCAAATCTGGAAGTGATTGTTCCCGTTTGCAAACTATTTTTGGAAGTTTCAGTGGCTTCCGATTTGTGGTAGGAGCTTCCTGCAGCCAATCAGCAGCAGCGCTTTGGTTTCCGAATGTTTTGGAAGTTGAACGGACTTCTGGAACAGATTCTGTTTGACTTCCAAGGTACGACTGTACATTATTATTATTATTATTATTATTATTATTATTATTATTATTATTATTACTATTATACCCATAAACGCTATTCTGCACATGCAGTCATTTAGTTTGAGAGCAGAGATGGTGAACTGAGGTCAAGAGGCAATGCCTTGCTAATGCCAGTGAACCCAGTGTGATCCAAGGGCAAAGACTGCTTCAGTTTCCTTTCTCAAACAGTAAGAAAAATCACCACTTGCTTCGTAAGGCTGTTGCGAGGAAGAAAGAGAGAGATTGGGACTGTACAATGCTGTGCATATTTAAACTGTTCCATACATAATTATCAAGTTTCTCTGGTATCATTCCCAACACTGAATGAGGGTCAGAACAGAGTCAATGCTTCTAAAGGAGTTAATGCAGCTTGCAATTTAGTAAGCCAGTTCTAAAATGGAAACTATCTCCCACCAACATTAATAGCCATACAGAAGAAGACTGCACACAGTTAAGAGGTTAGAATGATCTGGAAACACCTAAGCCAAGATATATTACCAGAAAGTTTCCATCCAGGCCAAGTGAAAAGGACCCAAGACACGCAAGGCAGAGTTAACTTCACCAATTCTATTTTATCTCGTTTCTTAAAAGAGAGAAGGGGAGGGAACACGAGCCACACAGCATATTATTTTTAGGCACAAATACAAGCTTTGCAATCACACTTTGGAAGCACTGAAGGGCAAAACGGAAGGAAGCAAACTGGCCTTTTGTTCATCAAGAAGCTTATGCTTGCGGCAATCAAGACAGTTTGCAAGGCAGAAGGGCATGCTATGAGGCCCACGTACCAGCCGCCTCCTTCGTTCCGGAATCTGAATTATCCTGGTGCTGTGCCATAGAGCTCATATGCTCCGCCCTCCCCCAATACTTTGGGGTCGTAAAACTGTTGGAATCAGAGGGAAAGGGTCAGTTGAGCTTAGGGAGGGAAAAGAAAGGAATGCAGCCAGACAGCTTAAGACCTGTGCAAGCATCTCACAAAGAGATGCCACTATTGTTCTACAGAAAACACACTTTAGGCCTACAGGTGTTGGTTAATTCCCTTCACATCCAAGGTCTGGGGAGTGACGTTATTTTGGAGCTGAAAAATGAAGCCAGGCTCGTCACAGAGGATGTTGCAGAGTGTGCTACAGGAACTGCAGCTTCCACTCATGATGCTTTAATACATTTATCAGAGCACTGCACTATTGACACTTTTGCAGTGCCCAAAATCAGGTTCCTATGAGCCAAGGAAAGGAGTCCCTCAATCCCAGTTTGTTAATATGAGAGCACACCAGGGCATTCATGGCCCAACTGACCTGGTCATTCCATCACATGTGCATTCTAACTGTGGAAACAGAAGCCAACACCAAGAATCTACATGTAGCGTACTTGGCGCAAATCTCCATATTCATAGCCACAAATCCTCTTCTTAAAGAGAAAGTAAGTAAATTTTGATTGAGCCATACTTGGACATGTAAAGTTCATTCTATACCTTCCCCTATTAACTCAGACGAAGAAAAGAACCTAGATGCAAGTTCGCAGGAGACTTCAGCAAGGGATTTCAGTAAAGAACAGGAAACACCACACTTCAAGAGATTACACGGAAGATGCCTCCCAATGGGACCAAAACAAGGCTAAATAGTATTGGTGAACCCCTTGTCACAAGGAATATGAAAATAATGGTGCTGAAGAGCAAGATGCTGACTACCATCCTGAATTTTAGACTATATGTAGTCACCTGGGAAGTACTGCCTTAACAAAGGCATGGCACTCTGGAAAGCCTTACCTATTGACCTTGAGAAGTCCACAACAATAATCATTTTGGAAAGCTGTGCTGTGAGAACAGTTTCAGGTGGCTTGTGGACAGGCAGCACTATTCAGCTGTAGGAATCTTTTACTGCTGATGTTATATAACATATAGCAGTATGTTATATAGAATGCGTAATCTGAATAGCCTTTCAGGAGTTTCAGGCTGGGTGTGCATATGTGTGTTTTATTCTGTCACAGTTGATGATGTACTTTTAACATGCAAGCCAGCTTGGATGAATTTTTTATTCAAAAATACAGCATGTAAACATTCTAAAGTAAAAATTGAAAAGATATCTAAGTGACAAAAAGGACAAAGGCGAGAGAAATCAGTAGCAGCACAATCCTACAAGCGTTTTCTTGAAAATAAGTCCCACTGTGTTTAGTGAAGCTTATACCCAATTAAGTGTGGATAACAGTTTTGCTGTTCCGTCTACTGTCTAAAAATAATCTTTGCCAGAAGCTTTGGATGCATGAGAGGGAGCCTAACTGGCCAATCAATCTTCAGCCAGTCAGAGTCCTGTAAAAAATCCCCAATATGGTGAGAGGGTTTATATAATCATCACAAACACTCTCAACAAAGCTTCTATGGGGTTGAGAAAGCATGCCACTCACTAATGAAAAGGACTAGCATAGGATACTGGTAGCAGGTCAAGAGCAAAAACACAGAATAAAAACAGCAAGAATGGAGGATGGAAAGAGGATTCCACAAGGCAACAGTTCAGCTATGAGCCCCAACACATCTCCGCTGTTCATGCCTCCCAGTCCCACAAGGGAGACTAAAAGGTAAATGTTAAGAGAATAGATGACCAACCATAGAATTGGATGCAACAATGATTGTGGGGAAATGGGGAAGGCAATCTTCAGGTACTTCAGTACAGATACCTAACAATGACAGTAAAAAACTGTGCAGGTCCCAGAGGAAGAAGTGTATTTGCACAGTAACAATGGCAGGATAGTCAATGTTGAGTAACTGATGACATTTCAGCATCTCTGTCTCTTCGATGATTCCCCAAACTACCGTCTCAATAAATGAGAGTCTGATGGAGAGAAGGGCATTGTTTGGTAAGAGATGAAAACTAAGAAGTGCTGATATCAACAAGGAATAGCCTATGTGGTGCCCTCCAGATATTGTGAACTACAACTCCCATCAACCCCAGTTAGCATCACCAACAGTCAGGGACCATGGGAACTGTAGTCCACAGCATCTGGAGGGCACCACATTAGCTATCGCTTTATAGAGCCACAGAATCATAGAGTTGGAAGGGACTCAGGGGGTCCAACGCCCTGCAAGAATCAAATGAAAAAGCAAGAAAGTGAAGGGGATGGGTATTTGGAGAATGAAAAGTGACATTTTGAGAAGTAATCCATCTATTTCTTTGTTCATTCATTTCTGTTCGCTGGTGAAAATCCTTTAATGCAAAATTCCAAGATTATGATCTCAATTGGAGGGAAATATTTTTTGATGTCAGGTTCACCCAGAGAGTTCCTTGAGAGCCAGTCCGCAAATACATGACTGAAAGAGTAATATTTTGCACGCTCACTGAGAAGTAGGCTCCACTGTGTTCAGTGGGGCTTACTGCTCGGTTAAGTGTGTTTAGGACTACAACCTGGGTATTCATTTATTTCCGGTATATCTGTATACTGCTTTTCACCTGAAGATCACAGGCTGGTTCACAACATAGAAATACAAAATGAAGACACAAAACACATAATCAAACCAAAACGAACCAAGGTACCTGTTTGATCTCAAGAAAGTCCCACAGCAGCTACCTGACTGCTTTCCAAAACTCCACCTGCTAGTCCCAGGCAGAAGGAAATTATCACCGAGCAACAGATGAATACGGGAAAGTTTCAGATCTGGTTACCAGAAGCCTGCTACCTGCAACTACACTCTTCCAACTGAAGAAATGTTCTCTTTTTCTACTGCAAGGCTAAAGTGGTCAGAACACCTGTCTCTCCTCCATATTTCGAAGCAGCACATGGACTATTCACAGGCATGTAAGAAGGGTGAGCCTTGCAGTAAATAAGGGAAATCTCCCTGAAACTATGGCAAATAGGATACCTGTCTGATGTATGGTTGAGATTCTTTCTTAGCCACCCTAGTATCAGGTGGGCAGTCCTCATCCTCAGATTTGGACGCAAGGGACAATACAGAAAAGGGGAAAGAGATGAATGTGTTGGTTCACCCCTTCAGTGTCAACACAATGATTGCTTCAGCCTAGCCTTCAAGAGCAGTGTCCCCAGAGAACATGGAGAAATAAGTTTAATATCAAGATTTGACCAATGTACTTATTGATGCAGTTTATTTGCCTTTGGAATGCTTCATTTTCAAGCAAATGCTACACTTCCCTAACACGCATTCAAAACAGTTCACAACAGCTGAGGAAGTGCCTACATTAACGTAAAGCCAATATAAACTGTAACAAAGCAGAAATTATTGCTAGCCAGTGTATTCACACAGTGAACAATTCTTAGCACCAGGTATTGGGGAAGATTAACTGAAAAGAGAAGAGGGGCAGCTACTATAAGCTATTATATCTTGAAGAATGGTGATGGTGAAGTGATAAAAAGAAAGAGAGGTAACAAGTGGTGGTGGGAAGGAATGTGTTGGATACCAAAGTTGCCAAATATCTCTGGATCAGGATAATCCTTTGTGTGCATCTGATGAAGGGGATTCTGGCCCGTGAAAGCATGTGCCATAATAACGTCTTATGGTCTTTAAGGAGTTTGGGGGTTGTTGTTTTGCTACAGAGAGATTAAGCATGTAAATAATAATAATTTGTATACGGTCCTTCATCCAAAGATCCCATGGTGGATCACAATAGAAAAATGCAAAATTATTGCAGTTCAGGACAGTTTTGTGAATGGATCCTAAACAAGAAGCTTCCTTCCTTCTCCCACCTACCAGGAGTAGATCTCGCCCCGCCCCAACTCAGTAGCTGCCCGCCACATACATGGGTCAAGGGTAGAACTGGAAGGGATTCCGACGGTCATCTAGCCCAACCCCTTGCAATGCAGGAATCTTTCACCCAACGTGGGGCTCGAACTCACGACCCGGAATTATGAGTCCCACGCTCTACCCACTGAGCCATCCCAATCTGGGGTCTGACCGGGAGGCGTTACCTGGTGGTTGATCCCCCAGCCCAGCACGCCCAGCAGAGGATCGGCTGACCGCAGCACCTTCACACGCTGCGGCACGAAGTGCTTCTTCTTGGTCTTGGTGCGGGTCCCCGGCCCCACCGAGGCTGCCATCCCCGGGCGCCGCCGCCGCTGCCAGCCTCGCCCGCTCAGCCGCCCTGCCCGCCGCTCGCTCAGCCTCGCCGCCGGCAACGGAAGCGGCGATCAGCTGATGCCGCCGTCACGTGACCCCAAGGGAGGGAGGGAGGGAAGGAAGTCGGCCGGGGCAGAGAGGGAATGCGCGGAGTGACGCACAGAGGGAGGGAGGGAGGGGGAGAATGACCTGCACTTCCGGTAACAGATGACTCCTAGCTAGAATGATAGAGTTCATTGCAGATGCAAGAATCTCAACTAGACCATCCAGGGCAGATGGCCATCCAGCCTCTGCTGAAAAACCTCCAAGGGAGGAGAGCCCACCAGCTTCCGAGGAATCTGTTCTGCTGCCGGACAGCTCCTAGTGACAGAAACTTTTTCCTGATATTTAGTCGGAATTTCCTTTCTTGTAACTGGAAGCCATGGGTTCGAGTCCTGCCCTTCGGAACAGGAGAAAACAAGCACGCTCCATCCTCCACGTGGCAGCCCTTTTTAGACATTGGAAGATGGCTATCATATAGCTCAGGGGTCAGCAGACTTTCTTTTTTTTCTTTTTTTAATACTATTTATTACTTTTACGACAATTTAAACACTACAAGAAAAAAAGCAATACAGTACAAAAACAAAACAAGACAAAACAAAAACAATTTAAAAACACATAAAAAGAGGAAAATTTCAATATCTTATCTTTCTTTGACATATTTCCACGACGTCCTCACACCTCCCTTTTTGTATTCCACTTCTATTAATTATTTCAGCAATTCCTTTCCATCTTCCCCTGTTTTCTATCCTATAATTATCTTAACACATTTTAACCTTATTTTTTCCTTTATTAATCTATTTATACTTAATTCCTTATAACATTTCTACTAAAGCCATATAACTTCATTCCAACATTCTTCTAGCATTCATTAATTTTACAATGTTTCTGTATATAGTCTTTAAACTTTTTCCAATCTTCTTCCACCGACTTCTCCCTGGTCTCGGATTCTGCCAGTCATTTCCGCCAATTCCATATAGTCCATCACCTTCATCTGCCATTCCTCCCGGGTGGGTAAATCTTGTGTCTTCCAATACTTTGCGATAAGTATTCTTGCTGCTGTTGTTGCATGCATAAAAAAGGTTCTATCCTTCTTTGGCACCAATTGGCCGACCATGCCCAGGAGAAAGGCCTCTGGTTTCTTCAGGAAGGTATATTTGAATACCTTTTTCATTTCATTATAGATCATCTCCCAGAATGTCTTAATCCTTGGGCATGTCCACCAAAGGTGAAAGAATGTACCTTCAGTCTCATTACATTTCCAACATTTATTGTCGGGCAAATGGTAAATTTTTTCAAGCTTGACTGGTGTTATGTACCACCTATAAATCATTTTCACAAATTTTCTCTTAGGGCATTACATGCCGTGAATTTCATACCTGTGGTCCATAACTGTTCCCAGTCAGCCATCATTATGTTATGTCCAACATCTTGTGCCCATTTAATCATAGCTGATTTCACCGTTTCATCCTGAGGGGGGCCAGCAGACTTTTTCAGCAGGGGGCCGGTCCACTTTTCCTCAGACCTTGTGGGGGGCCAGACTGTATTTTAGAGGGGGGGGGGAGAGAACGAATTCCTATGCCCAGAGATGCATTTGAAATAAAAGCACACATTCTACTCATGTAAAAACACGCTGATTCCCAGACCGTCTGCGGGTTGAATTGAGAAGGCCGATTGGGCCGGATCGGCCCCCGGGTTCTTAAGTTGCCCTACCCATGATATATCTCCTCGCGGGCCCACGAGCTGCCCTGTGCTTCCCATGCAAGGCCAGACCACGGCCCGCCCGCCCAGCCTTCCACCCTTTCTGAGGGGGAGCTCACATCAACATTGAAAGATCTCCTTCATTTGAAGGTTTCTAAACAAATGCCTGACAACTATATATCAGGACTGCTTGGATGGCGTCTCCTGTCTGGCAGGGGGCTAGGCTGGTGGCTGACTTAATTTCAGGATAAATACAACTCTTACAACTATATGAAATAAGAATCTAGCATTTCTTAAATCCTTTGCATAATTACATCTATGCCAATACACTTAATACACAACACAGGTAGCCTCTTAAAAGGAATAAGGCCTTTGTAAAGTAGAAAAAGGAACTCAGTAAAAAACCGCTTCAAAAGAAGCCTCTTCAATCTACACCCCCCCCTTCAGCCAGCTGCTTTTCCCATTAGCTCTTCCCAACATTTATTGCCCTTCAACTCTCTCAGTTTAAGAAAGAAACAGCTTTTAAAAAAGACTTCCCAAAAATGCTCTCTTTCTGCCAGCTAGATGCTTCTCCATTGCTCTTGGCCTTTTAACCTTAGAAAGAAGATCTGGCTCGCGGGGGCAGTTGGCTCCACTGAGGGAGACGGCTGCACGCTCTATAAGCGCTGGGCGGGAGCCTACTTCCGAGTCCACGCATTACAGTCCTGCCCTCCCTGTCCCCAGATTAGCTGGTTTAATGTAGGTTTTGGATGGCTGGTATTGTTTCATTACGTTTTCCTCACAACAAACCCTGTGAGGTAGGCCAGGGGGCAGGTCCCTCCACTCTCTATTTTCTAAGCCAGCGTTGCTTCCAGGAAGCTGCTTGTTGGGGAAGGAAAGGAACTAAACAAGATTTAAGACAACTTCCAGAGTGACAGAACGAAAAAATCCCCCCTCCCCGGCCAAAATGTATTGGGTCGGCCCTGTTCCAAATTGTTACTAATTGTGGTTGTGAAGGCAAAGTATTGCAACCATGGCTAGTAGTCGCTGTTTGCCTTCTCCTTCATTGTCTGATCCTCCTTTAAAACCATCCAAGTTGTTAATATACTGCGGTGTCCAGACCGGACTAGGACCCAGGTGTCCAGGGTTCAAGTCCCCTCTTGGCTATCAAGCTCCCTGGGTGACCTTGGACCAGGTTTTGGGCTCTCAGCCTAGCCTACCTCACAGGGTTACTGTGAGGATAATTTGGAGAGACGAATTGCATCTTGTGCACCACTTTGAGTTCCTTGGAGAAGATGTAGAGTTTTCATGTAATAATGCAATAAAGCACCAAGAAAGGCCTCTAGGTGCTCAAACATATTTTAAAGCCTAGAGGTGGCAAGTGTGGGTGAGCACCTCGGCCATGGGTAGGCAAACTAAGGCCCAGGGGCCAGATCCGGCCCAATCGCCTTCTAAATCCAGCCCGCAGACGGTCCAGGAATCAGCATGTTTTTACATGAGTAGAATGTGTCCTTTTATTTAAAATGCATCCCTGGGTTATTTGCGGGCCTGCCTGGTGTTTTTACATGAGTAGAATATGTGCTTTTATTTAAAATGCATCTCTGGGTTATTTGTGGGGCATAGGAATTTGTTCATTCCCCCCCCCCCCAAAAAATATATAGTCCGGCTCCTCACAAGGTCTGAGGGACAGTGGACTGGCCCCCTGCTGAAAAAGTTTGCTGACCCCTGACCTAGGCAGACAGAAAAGGTGGCTTCATAATACAATGAAGCACCCCCCCCAAAAAAAAATTTTTTTAAAGAAGATCCAGCCCACTGGAACCTATAATACACCGTGACTGAATGATGAACCACTAGCCAGCCAACACCTGGGCAAACAGGTGAGTTTTAAGGAGGGGCCAGAAACTGGACCACAGCCATGGCCTGCCTTATTTTCTTGATTATCCAGAGGGATGCAAAGCTGGGAGAATTTGGGGAAACTCTTAAGGGGAGCCTAGATCCAGCTTCCTGAGCCTTCTGCTTGGGGGTAAATGCAGGGGTGGGCCAGATGCTTGGCAGCTGCCTGAAGTTGCCCAGTGGTGACATGGGCATGGCAGTTAGAACGTTCCTGGAGCCCGGAGCCCATTGGCTCCAGTCCTTGTTCAGGCTCTGACCTCACAACCAGCTGTGGAATCCTGCAGAATGTTTGGTTTCCTAGGAGGCCAGGTGAGTTGTTTAAAAGGATCCCTGGGTCAGTTGAAAGCCGGTTGGATCAGTCAGCTGCCCATAAAGCAGCCATTCTTCTTTTGTTGTCTTGAAAGCTGTTCGACTGACTTTCTGGGCTTTTCAGTTCTGAAGATCTTTTGCATAATGTGCCGCTGGTGGCATAGAAGGTAAAGTCATGGAAAAGAGGGGAGGCATCCTGAAGATTTGTGCCCCTGCCACATGCCTAGTTTTTAGAGATGTTCCTTGGTTATTTGACCTTTCTAACCCCCATGCTGTGTGTTACATGAGCCAGCAATTACCCCAAGGAGTTTTCAGATGAATTTTCTGAGTTTTCATTTTTGTCACCATCCAAATTGCAACAGAATTGCAACAGTTGGAGTCCAGTAGCAACATCTGGAGGGAACCAGGTTTGGGGAGGCTTGATGTAGAAGACATCAGGGTAATTTAGCATCGTAACACTGGATGACTGGACAGAGGTTTATTTTGGCCCTGAACAAGGGCTGGAGACCTATAGCACAGACTTGAGACCCCTGCTTCTCCCTTCTTCCACAGAAGAGCCAGAGTTTTCGACCTGAGAGCCAAGGCAGACCCCTCCTTCCCCTCGCAGCTGGAAGAAGAATTCTGCAATGAAAGCCTATGGAGAGAGACAGTCGGCCAGGAGATTGCCGCTTCTCTTCCGGCACGGGAGGCCCTCCGCCAAGAAGCCATTCATGGTGAGGAGGGTCTTTCTGTGGCTCTTTCCTCAGGTCTCCCTCAGAAATATTGGGCAAGGGAGTCCAGGGGGAACTTCACTTTCTTAAAGCATAGGGAGGGAAAGAGTGCCTGGGAGATCTGCTGGGAAGTGGGTCCTTCTCCCTCCCAAGGGGAGCCTGGAACTTTTGAGCTCTCGAAAATGGCTAGGAGAGAATTTTTCTCCAAACAAGACCCAGAATGGCAGTGTTGACCTTGGGGCTCTCAAATTCCAGTGCCACCCTGTGCAACTCCTCCCCTCCCACTGCCGCCTTTTGTGCTCTGTTCTACAGCATTGTTTCGGCACCCCCTGCAGCGCGGCACTCAGCGTGGCCACACCGGTCACACCGCCCTAAAACCACCAGAGCTATTGGGTGCCTCCTGGTGTCCAGGCTGGCAAATGGC